TTTGGCGGTGGAATCCAATTGATGAGAGGCTGTATAGCTGTCGAGTCATTGGGTGCCTTGTAGATGTTGAGAAAAGTAATACCGCTCACTTCAACCCAGCAATAGTCTCTTGTAGGCACAACATAAGGAAAGAGCTGTGTTGCCGATATCTTTTTATCGTCTATCCGGGTATAGATCACAGCCCTCGGCCTAATATTTTCGCAGCCGTTGGGCAGATGATAGGTTTATTTTGGGTGAACCTTAATTGTGTTCTTTTATTTATTCCACAGAGGTTCTTGAACAAGAACCACGTCGATACCCAGCTCAAATGCTCGGGCAAGTGCAATGTTTTGTGTTGAGCCCCCTCTACCTACGTTTATTGACATAAAGCTTAGAGTAGGAGAGAGGCTTGAAGAGACCCGTGGGGTGCCCTTAACAAAGATTTTTGCTGATTTGATGCCACATCGACCTCGGCTATAGTTACTGTAGCATCGGACATGAGAACTTCAAAACAGTTGCTCGATTTGAAACCTGGCTGGTTTGAATTTGACGCCTCTACGGCTGCTGTCATCGCTACCTCTGTGCGTCAGATAGTTGCTTTGGCCCGAGTAACTGCCGCAAATTTGCGTTGGCCAGCCTGCCTTATGGTCTAAAAGTTTTCCCTGGAGGCCATTCCGGACTTTGTTGGACGAGCTAGACAGTCCCGACTATCTGACCTGTGTGGACCCCCACAGTTGCGGCACTTGGTGTGTGCCTTGCACTCCGCGATGGAATGCATAGTCGAAGTGCAATTCCAGCAGGCTGAGGCGCGCGAGCAGCCCCTGGTGCTGTGGAATTGTAGGCATCGTTTGCACTGGTTGATGCTTTGACGATGCTGGTGGCGGACTGCAATCCCAGAGTCATCAAAAAGTTGGAAAACTGACCGAGGGATCGATGCTTTTTCAAAAAGGGCTACCCATGACTAATATGGGGCTCCAAGTCGGCTTTTTCCATGTGGGCGAACTTTTACCGGGACAGCCTTGGTTACCCTGACTATCTCGTCAGCCACCATCTTTTCTGTGATGAGAACTTTGCCCATTATTGTTTTAACTGCGACTAGGACCGTCGCTATTCTAAGGGAAGCCAAGTCCGAGGCTTTCTCCAATATCGCATCCTGCTGGGTGAAGGATCCAGCTAGGCTTAGGATCAGCGCGCGTGCCTCTTGGTTTTCGGCTCTGATAGCGAAGCCAGTTGGCACACGGTAGACATGCTCAATATTTGTTTGGGGGATTTCGAGCATTTGCGTAATTGCTTCTCTAACACCGAATGGTGAGAGTGTTCGCCAGAGATGTTCTTTTTCGAGGCGGAGAAACAAACGTTCGTCTTGCAAGGCCGGTTTTGTTGGCCCAAGTTGTCTTTGGGGCCGGAGCCTGGGTTTTCGTAGCGTTAAGAATCCTAATTTCTGAAGCCCTCGGCGCAAGAGGGTCACTGGGGCTGGCGGGTAGAGCTGGTGGTGTTGACCCGGGCCGGATTGTACGAACTGGCCAATGGCCGCTCGTAGGTAGACTATTATGCCGTCTACAAATCCTTTATTATCGCCAATCGAGAGAGGCGAGAGTGCTGCTTCGACACTCCTTATCGCAATGGAGCAGATTGTGGTGCGGGCGTTAATTTGCGTCGTGCGAGGCTTTTCTGCCTCCATCACTGATTGCAGCTCTGGAGGATATTCCGGTGCTGTGCCTTTTGAAGCTGGCACAATGAATTTTCTTGCAGACGTTTCTGCTTGTTCTGTCTTCTTCTCTCGAACGATTTCCTTTCTTTTCCTTGAGATGCTTGCCTCTGGGGCAAGCTCAATGAGTTTCGTTGTCATGAGACCATTGTTTTCTGTTCTGATGGGCTCAGAATCAGTCATCTCTCTAACGGGAAGGTTTGGAGACTTTCCTTCGATGAAGGTCTCACCCGCAAACATGCTTGAAAGTTTTTGCGGGAGCCCTCTGGCGGACTCTCGCGTTGTCCAACATTGCGTTTGGGAGCTTTTTTCGAACAGGTGGCATGATAAAAATTTCAGCGACTTGATCACAATTTATTGAGGGAATGTGACGAGCGCGAGAGGGAGGGAGAGGGGGAAAAAGGGAAGATTCGAAAACTTGAATTTTAAAAGAATTGTGGTCGTTTTGTGGTCTAGCACGACTTTAAATAATGTAAAAAAAATAAAAAATAGGTATGACATAGTATTTCCCAATAGATTCCTAATAGTATCTATTGCCGCAAGGATCTCTCACATCCTTCCTTTCTTGGTTAGACAAAGAGATATGTTGGAACATCCACCAATGTGCAAAACCCCCTAATTCATGTATATATAGAGGTCCTGTCACGAAGCTAATGTAAGCAATCCATACAATGGGGATTTTAAAAAATATCCACATTATTCACAAATTTGAGAATACCAGGGGATATCCTCAAGTTCGTCCATTGATCCAATTCCTAAGAGTATGACTCACGAACTTCAATTCTCCTAAGGCCATAGCTACCTCCTTCCATACCTTCATCCCAAAGGTACGTTATTCTAGCTCAGCATAGTCTTTCAATACTAAAGTTCTTGTAATTGCGTCCAACTTCGACTCGGACACTGCTCTCCTTGGAGATCCCAGATATGTAGAGCATAATCAGCGTTTACACCAGCACCTCTAGAATATGAATTATTCGTTTTTGCCGGCTTGGAGCTCTGATAGAGGACCTAGACATTGCAAAAAAGCAGCTGTCTGACATTCTATTATACAATATAATCGTAGCGATCTTCTTCCGCCAGAAGTCTTAAATTTGTTTTCCGAGCAGGCTAGAACAACTTCCTTGCAAGAGGTGATGTGATAGTGAATTGTGAACATGTACGTGATGAGCCGTGGTCTACATTTGACTTGCCTTTTTCACATAACGTCTTGATATTTTTCTACTCCTAGCATTGCCTCATGATTGAGATTGTATCCAGCCTATACTATTATCAGATCTATACACGCCCTTAGGCCCTTGTGAAAGGCCTCGAATCTCACCACACTTACTCAATCGCACCCTGCCCCCAACTAACACCTCCACTCCACAAGAAAGTATGAGCATGTGTTCCCTATATGTGCGCTAGGACAAATTTCGGGTCATTACCTGTCGCACTTAGCGTCAAAGGGAGTAGAGCAAGCTAAATACATGTATTGCTTGGGCGAGTTAACCGTAGGATGGGGATTGTAGATGTCGCGTGTTGAAAGAATGGTTGGGGACCCAAAGAGTAAGCGGCCATAGCCAGATGTAGTTGGCTGTGTAGGTTTGGGCGGCCGAAGATCAAAAGATAGTGGAGTCGCCGATCATGCCCAGGTGTATCGCGTCTGCCCCGGTTCAATGGGCTTTCTCTTTTCGGTCTAATCAGGTCTTGGGATTTGGCCTTCACCCAATTTTTTATAAAGAACTTTTTGTGTGTCTTCGTTTATGGAGCTATGATGTATGATCGGTGCTTTATTTGCACATTCAAGGAACCTTTTGGCTTCAGTGACACTCATACCCCAAGTCGCAGTTACAGAAATCAACCTGAGGAATGTCTATTTACATTGCGTGGTTAACGCTCGTCCACAAGTATTCACCAAGTGGAGCTTTCAAAGGTAAAGCTTATCCTAGCTTGCTACTGTGATCCTACACATGAGATCCACTAGAGGTTTTATTGAGTCTTACCGGGCTTGAACCAGCAATCTCCCGTGTCACACGGCATAGGTGTCCAAGCTATCCAGACTCCACTAGAGGCGAGCTCGGATGGTACAGTGGTGTACCAACCAAACACACTCATCTTTCAAATGTATCCTGCTCCTTCACGATTAAATACATCGCGCGCGCTCATACTTCGTTTGCGGCTGAAGAAGATTCAACACCTGTCTGCAGTGTCGACCATGAACCTCAAGCTCTCTCCAAGGAGTGTATATGGCAGATAATTCATTTCCTGGAGTATTGTAGAGAAGATAAACTACCCACGGAAAAAACTATTCACCGAATATGGGCACAAAGAACACCCATGTACTATGTAGTCTTGAGCAGAGAATGACCGATGAGCATGATGGAGTGTCTTGGCGGGAACCTGCAAATGTTGGGTTGCATGGCTCAGCGGTAAGCCGTCTGAGCTTCTGCTACGAGTAGAGTCTAACTTGATGACTAGCTCCACCTGGGCCTGGATATTGCTATTTTGAACACACTACACCCTTCCATTTCATCCTGGGACAAATCTTTTCTGATTTAGAATACTAGCATAGACTATGCATTTTCCCGCTTTTACCGTAGTCGAATGTGCACGGTATAGACTAGGATGTAGGTCCCGGCATACCAAGGTATTGGAATCAGCAAAAGCGATCGACTGCTAGTTAGCTGAATACGGTGTGGCGTGCTGCAGCCAAGATCTTGCCAAAATTTTAGATCCCCTCGAGCCTCAGAGGCACGCGAGAATCGAGAATACGAAGGCTTAAGTCGTAACTACTACTCGTACAAGCCTAAAAATCACGAACTTGGAACGGAAATCGGCTCTGTTGGTGTGTTAACAGGCGCTACCATATGGACAAATCTCAAGTAACTATGAATATTCCTTGAAGTCAATCTCGAGAGGCTCCGGTGTGTGTGTCGGTATCACGGCGAATTTGCGAGGACTGAGCGACGCGATGGCAAATTGTTTGTAAACACACCCAAGGCTTCTGATCATTTGCCTGCGAGGTATTTCCCGTATTCAACAACTGCGGCTGACATTATTCTTCGCCACTGGCTCATCCATCGAAATTTTACCCCATTCATCTCGTCTTGGACCAAATATGTTGTCTGAAAGCCCTTCCAGCCAACATAGAGAAATGTTACTTTCCACGACTGGTGATACTTACCACAACTAGCCTGTTATCCTTCTACATAGCAGCCTCACCCGATCTACCTTCCTTACAAAGTAACCTCAGTACCTTCGGATCCCTCAAGCCAAGTCGACTCATTCTACTCTTTCCGACGCGCAATTTATATTTATTTTACACTAATACACGATGAAAGCTGTAACGGCTTGCAACTTTCCTGAAAATAATGACATGTATGGACTAGGAATTAGGTTAGCCTTCTACACTCTCTGGTTAGGAACAATTCTGGCTTGCCGAATGGCTCCGAGACAAGCTTCAATGTTACGAATGACGAATTCTTTGTTTGTTACGGCTATTATAATCTCCTTAATTATCAAAATAAGGGAAAATAACATAAGTCCCATTGAAAAATCTGTCATTCTATTCATGTGCTTCAGTGGATATCTCTATATTCTACCCCTATACATTGGTCGAATATTGGCTATTTGTTTTCCAATAATGAATCCCACCTGCTTTTATCAACGGGAGAAGAGCAGGATCCAGAAAACTCTTAATTTTCTTCTTATGGTCTTTGTTTCAGGGTTTAATCTAAAATTTTGGGTTGAGATTGTGTATATTGCTAGGCCTGAGGCATGTAATCCAATCGGCTTCTTTTTCAAAAAGGTTCCCCTTGAAGAATCAGATTATCGAATGGGGAATATCATGTTCTATTTTTCTTGGATTTTCTCGTGTCTAATGACACTTGGCATTAAATTTGCTAGAGCTAGCGGCAGGCTTCAGTACATAGGGCAGCGAAGGTCAAGGTAAGCACAACATTGATGTACCATCACGCAATTAGAGCTAAAGTTTGTAATTCTAGGAGACAAAATCCATTGTTGGCACTCCAGACTCACACAATCTTGAATTTGATCCTCGCTGCTATATCTATTTTCGACATCGAACTAACCCTTCGATGGAACAATATGCAGGGTCCCAAAATCTGGTCTGCTTCCCAGATACTACCACTTACTATTAGTATTGGTATGGTAATTCGGTCAATTTTATTATTCTCATCTGGAACGCATACAAAGAAAAAAAGTGCGAGCTCAAAAAGAATTACTTCAGAATCACGCTCGTTTAGCTCGCCTAGTATAAATGAGACACAAATTGGGAATCTCCAAGGTCCAGATCTTGTATTACTAAGAACGACAGAACGATTGTCCAGCGGTGCCGTCCAGCCACAATTTCCTCGAAATTCTGATGCGGACACTCAAGCTCAACGCGTACAAGTTTTACCGCTCCAAACTGATAGAGTTCACCCACAACAACCTCCAAGTTACCATGAGTCACTACCACCGTACCATCCAGAATAATTCACCAAGTTCGGTTTATTTGGAGTTGGGGGTTCATGCATTACATGTAACATTTGATTTGTAAGCTTGTTAGATCGGGTAAAGTAATACCCGATTGTCTGTAGTGAACGGAGTACGTGCGTTATCGCAGGATTGGGACTTAGATATGTTCTCAGAGAGAAGAAAAGAAAAAGATGATTGATTAGTCTTATCCTCCATCATCTCACCTCTATTCAAGTACAGGCTCGCTTGTCTTCTGTCAGTGTCCACAGTTCAGACCACGTGATCTCACTATCCCATCTTACAAACAGACTGTCATCTGATTTCTTTTTTTTTTTTTTTTTTTTTTTTTGCATCAGATTTTAATTGCGTATGCAGCTATCTAGCTATGACACAATATCAGAGAAAAGTACAGAAAAGATGACTCAGTTTATAATAGGAGCACTCATGCCTCGGATTTCATTTGCAAGTACTACTACGAAGTTATGGCGGCTTTTTCTTCACCCCAAGTCAGCCCTCATCCGTGAATACCCACCCAGAAGAACGTCTCAAACACCCTGGGTTATCCAGACATGCCTCTGTCATCCATCAACTTTTCTCCGCGCGAAATGTAATCTGAGATGTCTCCTTCCCAAGTGGAGTAGGTGCCCAGGCTACTCAAATTATACCAGAGAACATCACCAGGAGGCGGACCACAACACCTTCCATCGTTTGCTTGTTTTTATAGTGTCAGCTGCACTCTCGCAAGCGAAGTCTTGGCGCGCACAAAGCCCAATTCGTAAAACTCTTGCCAAAATTCAAAATTCCACGCCCGTCGAAAACGTATACCTCTTCTGCATCATCTTGTAAACTTGTCCTGATCCCTCTCACGTCCATCCCAAAGAGCTATCTCTCAGATTTGTGCTCCACGCTTTGCTTCCTCCGTCGGGTATAAATATCGGCGTGGGCGTGTATTTGGTGACCGGCTGAGGCCAGAGAAAGTCGACGAGAGGTGTGGTCATTGAAACGAGGATGTACTATGTCGTACTTGTAGACTTGATGAAGCTTAGTTTAGAATCGGACTCTTTGGGAGTGAAAGATTGACGTGGTGGAGTAATTTGAATTTTTGCCTCGTGGGCCAACTTCTTTGATATTGCGAAGTTTGACTGAACTTGGCTCTGGGAGAATATTTCACTCCCAGGTTCGTAGAGGACACCGCGTACAGGTGTTCAGTCTTGCCCTCCGTCATCTGATTTCAAACACAAGATAAAAACATGATGAGCGTTAATATTGCAAACATCAGAATGAAAGCACAACAAATTACATTACCAATCCCAGACGACGAAATAAATGCAAATATATAGAGAATGATTGCATGGAGATAATAGATACAATGTATAACACACGATTGATTGCGTGTCCTTCCTTACCAGCCTTACGTAGCCTCATATGCAGGTCTCAATTAGCTCGACGAGCGCTGTGTTGGAAGAGGATATACTTGTATCTTTATCTTACATCGTAATTAAACGGTTGTTCGTACTACGTACTGTAGTAATCTTATTGCTACGAGTGCACTTGTTGAGTTCTATTGCATGATCATTGTCACACTAACACTGATCAGTAGTTGAATTGACAAGTCTTATCATACAACCGCAGAACACATGATTCAACACATAGATGCGTTTTGGCATGGTTCCGGTCATTTAGGTGGGACGAGGTTTATCTTTACTTCAGGGTAGTTAACCCGATCTGATCCGGCCCGACCCCACTCGTGCTCAAGCTCCAATAGGAGTGCGACGGGAGTTACTTTACCTAGCACGTTAATGAACAAACATCCCGCAAAACTCGAGAAATTCGAAAATTCCCTTTTTCCTACCTATGACAGTTCCTATACATCCTACGATAGTCTTAGACTTAGACAGGATGTAAATGGAATAAACAAACAAACAAACAGTTCCTGTGCTTGAATTCTCCAATTAATGACCATCGACAGGCGTCCAAAGATCCCTCCGATGAAGAGTAAACGACCAAAGTCGACGACTTCGGCCAGCTTTGAACGGACACATAAGTGTCCGAAACCAACTGGCTTCGAGCAATACTAATTGTCGAATGACCTAATGACTTAATGACCTTTCATTTATTATCTTATAAATTATGACTAACTATGTTGATGAGTAATGAGTTACCTGTTTAGGAATGGCGTCAGGAGAGAGGGAATAGAATAGAATAGAATTGTCGGTAAAAGAATCATATTTAGGCAGTATGAATTGTTCTATGTAGTTGCGTTATTCAGATTGTCGTATAGACACTGACAGGGGTCTGGTTTAGCTCATTAGCGAGGCGCTTGGAGTAGAGGAAGGAAGGGGAGATGGAGAGGAAAAAGAGGAGACAACGTTTTATGTATATCGAGATACCAGTTAATTGTCATTATTCACCGACTTCGTGACGGCACCCAATTTGTATTACTTCGTGTTTTACCAACAAGAAGTTTATTTATGTCCCTACTGAGTCTATGACTATGAAGGACAACTAAAACTATCTAAATAGCTTTAAAGTTAATAGTAAATTTGTATATTGTTGTGCTCAAATTTTGCCAATAGATGATGAGGGCTGTGCCCTATTTCAGGAGAGAGGGACAACTGCTGTATATACGTGTTTCCTTTAGTTAGAGGAGAAGAATAGAAGATATATGTTAACCACCAATTGTTATTACTGCTACAAAAAGCTTGTGATATAAATACCACCCGAGTATTCCGACAGCCCGATATGTTATAAATGGGCCAAGGCCTGCCGGCCATGCACCCCGAGCTATCGAAAGAAGTCAAAAGTACTCCCCCACTAAGACTTTTATTTTACACTACAGCAAATAGATAATTATACATATTAAGAAAAAAGCTATCCATCACCTAGACCAATATTCTTTCAATCTGAACCATAGCCAATATAGGTTAAGGTTTGAGGGGCTAGAGTTCTGGCTTGTGCCGTCGTTATATTTCTGTCAAAAAGCAGTGTCGGAACATTTCCTACGGATTCTTTGTTTGAGCTAACTCAATAACAATCGTTTCATTCGTTCGCATCTATCTTCATTTGTGACGGAGCGCCAGGGCCTCAATGACCTTGAACACTCGTCACATGATAAATGCTTACACAGCTATTACTAATCATCACTCAAATTGTCGCAACACTATTTTGGGATGTGCATGGGTCAGGAGAGGGATCGCAATATGTTGATAGTTAGTCACGTGGATTGGTGCAGCTTGGCTTCTCGCCCCTAAGGCTGACACGCCTGTATCCAAGAAATAGAAGAACAAGAACAAAGACATCATCGAGAGACCCATTGCGTACGCGTACACGTGTATATTACCGACCGACACATATGTTATTACATCTTTATAATCATCATTACCGCCCAAACTCCAGCATCTTTGCTTAATGCACATCCAAATAAAACTTGTATCCTACTATTCGAAAAGCAGGTATCATGAAGCCATTTACCAAAAGCTATGGGTCCTTCAGGAGAGCCAAGAATCCAGCGAATTCCCGTCGTTGGGTGTTTATTTCCTCTGCAAGGGCGGGACCGGCTCCGATTGAGTCGACAAAAGAAGAAGTGCTCGGGAGATTTTTCTAGCCCGCAAGCGCAGATGAGAAGAGCGTTAGAGTGGTGAAAGCGGCGGTGTATGTCATATCAATGAGAGATGATCTAGATCAATCATATCTCATATCTCATGGTGCATGTGCACATTGTTCTAATGTGAACAGTTCATTGCAGTACAGTCATCTTAGTCCCCTAATTACAACATTTAGTAGAAGTTAGAATAATTCGCTCTATCAAGTTGGCCACGTTTTCGATACATACTCGACTACAAATCATGTACTTAAATTCACCGCGGTAAATACTTGAATAAATGCGCTCCAAAAACCTCATGACTGAGGAGTTATTGTTCCCTCGATATGTTTCTAAATTTTAATACTCATCAATGTTAGACATGTTGGGGGCCTTGGCTCCCCTAGGTGTATCAGTTGCTATTTTATTGGTTAATTGATGGGAATAATAGGCCAGGGAACCTATTTCCAGATATACCATATCGTTAGATTTAAAATCACAATTTCTCTGGCAGATAGAGCCATGTATGTAGGTGTGAGGTTGTATTGATCACAATTCTTTCTCGCGCGCCTTGGATGTAAAGCGTAGGCCTGATAATTGATTAAATTTAACGTCGTGCCTATCCACAGCTCGTGACGTAGCCCCGATGGGACAAGCATTCAAATCAAGTCAGGCCTGTTATTCTCACTTGAGCCCTCCAACTCCATCTTACCACAACCACCTCGCCTTCACGGCCGAACAAGGAGTAGCTCTCATTGTTTGCACTTTTGATTATCGGACAAATTCCTTTGCAGAATACGATTCTACGTATACTCGTGAGGAAGAAAATAAGGTATCACATACAAAGCTCCCGGCTTGAATCATGAGGCACTGCTGCTGTAACAGAAACTTACGACTTGAAGGATAACAGGGGGTTGAGACATTGAATGAGAGAGGGAAGAAATCACTATTTGGCATGACGGTTGTAGTAAATAAATAAAAAATCAACCAGATTCCTCTACCTTGGATCCAATTCAAGCATTTTGTTCTATTGCCTTTTCAACAGTATCTCAAAAACCACAAATCTTCTCCGCAAAGGACTACAATATATATCCAAACTCATCTCATACATTGAACAGGTTTCTTCCTTTTTAAATATCACGTCAATACATACCTGCATGGGCTTACAGGATTTCAGCGGTGTAAATAGAATCTAAAAATTCGGTAGATTAGTCCGGAAGTTGCTAGAAGATTCTGAAGATTGATTATAAGACAATAAATTCAAGTGAATTCGCGCGGAATTGAAATCAGCTAACAACAAATATTTTACATAGACTAATAAATTAACAAAAGTTCAAAGAAAACAAAGATGGATAGTCAGAAATTTTTAATCTTCGTACACCTGATAGCTCGAGCATCAATACTCAAACCGTGAAACTTAATATCCGCTAGGTATTTTTGTGTAAACCTGCCATTAAAGAATAGAAATAAATTCTCCATATCTGAATATAATCGCCTGTGTTTCGAAACTAGACTAGAATGGTGTCACGAGGCAGGTCGTAGTCCATCAGCGAGAGCTGAAAGCCGGCCTGATACCCAATAAAATTCATCCACCCTTCTGAGCTTGAATGATATTATATCTCGCTTCCACATAGATAATGAGTCGGATGTTCATTGATTCCGATAAATTATAAGCTAGGATTACACGTTCCCGAGTTCTTGATCTGGTTATCAAGAGTTATCAACACTCGAGAATCTAGATAGTTTCTGAATTATTAAGCTTTAGTTTAATCTGAAAATCCTGTATCTTACATTGAGACTAACCGATGGCATATATGACCGTTTCCATCCTACGAAAACCTCTGAACAAATACCCGTAAAACCAACGCCTGTGTTCATGCGCCATCCTGCAACCGAGGGCCAAGATCGTAAAATTTCAGCACTGCGCTAAATATGTTTTCATGCTATCTTGTAATACTGAGGCAAAGGATCTAATGCATCAGCTACCGCTAAGGATCATAGATACTCCGTTTCTCCGAACATGTAAAAACATTCACGTGGTTGTCCTGCCTCGCAGCACAAGCAAGCATCATCCGATGAGGGTGAAAGGCTGTGGTGGAGATGGGACTTTGTTTGGATTGATGCAAAAAGTTTGAATAGGGCTGAACTCGAGAAAGCTCTTTGCCTTCAAAATTAAATACCTTTACAGTATGATTACTAGTTCCACTAAAAATAGTCAGCAGTGAAGACAATTAAAATTGCTGAACCTACACAGCGAAAACAGGAAGGTGTTCATGGGTGCTTGTGGTGCGTAGAACTTGGTTTGTTGTACGTATTGTTCGAAGTGGCTGATCCATGCGTATGTCCCAGAGCTTGACTCTGCCATCTCGACTCGCAGATAAAAGCTCTCTTTGCCCCCCCCGTTGCATGTGGACACTTTTAATCCATACTTTATCAGCTCCATCTTTCCATCGCTTCACCATTGCTTCCTGTGGCCGATTCCGAGCATCGAATATTCGTATGGCGCCATCACCAAAACCAGCCACGAAAATATTCCCAGTCATCTGATCCGAGGTGAGGGATGTAACACATGATCCTGAGCGTGCATTAATATCAGCGACACATAGCTCATTTGCTGCAGACCACACCCTGATAACCTTGATATCACCAGCAACTAACAATCTTCCACTAACTTGTTGCCAGTCAAAGACCATGCCATAATTTACACTTCTAGGGACAAGGTCTGTAAGCGCACGCCAAGCTGAGGCGATCTCAATCTTCTTTTCAGATTCATAGTTTCGGTAAATCCGAACGACGCCGTCTGAGGATCCGATCATCAGAAAAGCCTGATCATCCTCGTTAATGAATTGGATGTCACTAATCTTCGAGCCTTCGGGATTTCCATTTGAGAATTTACTCAGTCGATCATGACTTTTCCAGTCCCAGACACAAACAGTATCTCTATCGTCTACTACAGCAAGATGATCCTCAAATTGATGAAAAACCATTTTACTTGGTTGACACTGATTATTTAAGAACCCAGATGGGATGGTCCATTTTCCACTACCCGCTATTTCTTTCTGTGGCTGGGTATCTCGTAATATTGCCTCGTTTCGTGATCGCCGCCACAAGCGTTCATTATAGTCAGAGCTACCAGGTTCTTCTGCTTCATTTGGCTTCATCTGAGGTTCACGAAAATACTCTATAGACCACTCGAGAAATTTACTCATGAGGGGTATGATGGGTGCTTCGGTCAAATTTCGACACCTGAAACCGCCAGATATGGGTTCCTTTGCTGTGTGATAAGACCCTGGAGTATTTCCGGCCTCATCAAACTCATGGGGCGCGTTGAGGTCATAAGGTCTGATACGAATGGAGAAAGAGTTCCGCTGTAACCCTGGGGATTTAAGTCCTGGTTTAGCCTGCGGCTCAATAAACGAGTTATCTCCAGTGGTTACCCCAAATGGGGCAAACAAGTAACTTGCTGTTCGTTTGAGAATTCCAGTCGTATGGGGTGCTGAGGAATTGGAATTTTGCATTGTTGGCGTGGTTGGTCTGGTATCTGATGATTTGGGATTGAAGATAACGGGTTTAAAGCTCCGCCTATTGATTTCATCAGCAACTATTTCTGCATGTTTGCCAATAGGTGATTGGAACAGTGAACAGTAAATGTAATCAACGATAATGGTGGCGCTCTGTTGAACTTCAGGATGTGGGTCGACAGCCATTATGAGAACATGCTTCCAGATAGTTGCGAATATTGAGTTGTGCGAGATGCCTTGAGCATCATCTTTTATTGTCCCATCACTGTTACGATTTTCTGCTTTAGCGAAATGCAATCCCATTCTGTGGGCATATTCATCTTCGGGCAACACTCTTTGTCTCGAATCTCGCTCTTCGCATAATTGCTCATGAGCTGTTACGAGGAACTTATTTTCGTATCGATGTATAAATTTTGACAGATATATTAGAAGTTCCTTTCGAACCATTGCATTTCCATCGTAAGCCATATCTATGACAGTCCAAGAAACGTTAATTTCGACGCGTGCGACCTCATCTGTCACATCTTCTGTTCCTATGAAAGTTGACATAGCATAGAGCATAGCAGCACGAACTTCACAACAGCTATCTCGTATGAGAAGGGCAAGATTAGTATGCACATTTTCTCTAATGCCTCGCCATTTCGCTTCCGGAAGGTCCTTCCATAGCTGACTGATACAAAGACAGGCCCATTGCCGGAGAAGCGGGTTGTCGCCATTTTGTAAGTGTACGGCGCAGAAACTCATAATTTCTGTTTGATTACATATAATTTGTCCTTGGTGATATCCTTCGCAAAGACGAGATAAAATGAAGGCGCACATTGCCTTATGTTCGAGGCTGTCCACAACCGGAAGGCCTTCGTTCGGTTTCAATATTGACGCAAAGTACATGTAGCCATTATCTCTTTAATAGATCGTTAGTGCTTGGATTCAGTCTCAAGAAGCTAGTACAGGGGTTTTATTTAGACTCACTTTAAGAGGTCTGCTTGACAAGAAATATCTACAGCCAAAACACGCGTCCAAATGAATACCATGACTGGCTTTAGTTCATGCGCTGCAGACTGAAGAAGTTTGAGCACATATGGAAAAATACCAATACTTAGTGCAAGATTAACTGCCCATGGACCCATGTCCAGAAATTTACCAAGGAGAATCAAGGCTCGTACTCGATGTTGTTGGCTGAGCAATACTTGAAGCACAACCGGTAACTGTTCTGGAGGCTTTTGTCTAGACCCTGCTTGAGTCAGGTAGACCTCAAAAGCTGTTAGCTGTTCAGTGAAAAAAGAAGAATTTTGAAACTCATAATCGGGGTTATTCCCTGCTTCCTTTTCCTCGAGCATCGGAAGTTGCGAAAGAGCCATTTCCACAGCAAAGTCCCAACTTGCCCAAAGTGGATGGTGATGCGTATCAGGAAGTTGTGGATATGATTGTGGGTGGCAATTATAGGCAGCCATTATTCGCTGCGAAAGAAGGAAGTTTCGAAAGAGAGCAGCAACCATCAGATCTTGGCGGAAAAATCTTCTAAATAATGGTCGAGGTAGCGATGTCCAGGCTATTGTATCGGTAATTGCGGTAAAGATCCAGTTCAATTCACCTAGTGGAGTTCTTCGCTCTTGTAAACGACCTGGTAATTTCTTTGCCCGCTCTGGAGTAAGCTGAGTTTTTAAAGGTGTATTGAGAACGAAAAACCATAATGCCATCTCGATTGGAGTGGTCAAGCATGATGTGAAAACATCGGCTGGGAGAAGAGGATTTGTAGGAAGATTTTCTTTCACACTACAAGCAGCTAGGTGAATATAAGGTTCGTAAACCTGAGAGACATGACTTTTATCCTTGGCTAAACTTTCCGATTCTTCTTGCTTGTGTTTCTCTACAAACCGGTGAAAGTTGTTCAGTATATTCCCAGCGTCGGAGCAATCCCAAACGTAAAAGGTTGGTGCCTGTAGCCAAGTCTGCAGATCGTAGAGTGATACAGGAATGTACTGTGTATAATTTTTGTTGAAAACCCAAATCTCACCCGATGATGTAGGCTTTGGAACACCGTGACCATTATAGTGAAACAAAACCCGCTCTTCTTTCGCATTTCTTCTCAAGGACTGGCAAAATTTCTTTGTTTCTTCAACTGAGGGGTCTAAGTACTGCTTATATCTTGTTCGGATGGATAATGTTTCGTATTGTGCTTGCAAGGACTTTCCAATATTTTCCAATGCCTTTTGCACAGGAGGGTGTGTTGGATCTTGCCAGGCTTCGAGCTTCGAGCCGGGATTTGTTTTCAATTGATCCGGAGGTTCTATACCAATGTTTAAACATATAGCAAGTGCTGCGGAAATTGTCTTAAGGCGGTCCTTCATCCGCCAATCTTGTAGCTCGTATCCTAGCAACTTTGGATTTCCGGTGGTTTCATGGCGCTTATCAGTGAAATACATGTACCAGTTCTGTTCATAATCATCAGCCCACTCGTCTAGAGCATGACCTGGCCAGCACGATTTGATATTAAGAATTTTGGTTTGGGCGCGATCGGCTTTAACGCGATTGTGAAGAGATCGCAGAACAACGTCAACATGACCATCAATCTGTTCCTTCAAGTCTCGTGAATCAAGTGAAGCTGGGCTCCATGCTTGGCCTTCGAGAAAGAAAGATTCAGACATACTAGGTCTGATGATGGTGTATTTCAGGGTGTCAATTATAGTGACTCCGATTGGGGTAGGACTGAACTTTGAATAGATACAGAATGCGCGCAGGGCACCCTCCGAAGTCATTACGAAGAAAGGAAAGAGCAACCTACATTTGCCAGTTGAGAAACGTATTCTTCACTTGCGTAATGGTCCTCAAAACCATGTCTTGCACTCCAACCATGATCTCCTAAATCAAGTTCATCGAATCTGGGCCCAATATCGCTCCTTGTCCGCTGCAGTGATGGTTGAAGTCTGCGGCTTGTATTACCAGTTTCTATTTGTCCATCATTTCCATTATTATTATTCTCTCTCTCATCCTCCTCCTCTCTATCTTCATTTCCTTCTTCGTCTTCTTCTTCTTTAATTGTATCTTTGGGGGATTTTGCTATGTTGCAATTCAATGGAGCTTGAAGCGGGTATGGTGCTTTGGCGTCCTCGTGAGTAAAGTTGACTAGGTAGTCATTGTTTGTTAACTCTTTTCTCCGGAGACTCGGGATTTCGGTTGCATTTCGAATAGAAGAAAAGGCAATTTTCTGTCGCGGATTTAAGCTACACCGTGAGTCTTCTGGGCTCTGAGGTTTTTGACGCTGGGCTTGCAAAGTCGTGTAACTCGGCGTCCATGGATGCTGCGACGATGTCATGATGTTTCTAAAGGGAAAAACGTTGTGACAACCACGAAATCAAATGCGACTACACAGCGACTGGTGTCATTTTCATAGCAGAAAGTATTTTGTTGGCACTTAGTCTCTGAATGCGCATGCTATTTGTCGCGTTCAGCTTATTTCACAATTCCGACTTCTCCTCCTCATCAACTTTGCGGGCATAACTCAACTCTAGCTTTTCTAGGAAGAAGAATGTCGGAAATTTTCCCTAGATATCTGTTGGCATTCAAACCAAATTTGATTTGTGAAATATAGGCGGCAGGGCTTCACATTAATCCGATTAGTTTGTGCCTAAAAAGTCAGGATATAACCTGACTATACTGACACTGTTTGACTATAGTGACTACAATGACCATGCAGCGTCTCTTTGGGTCGCTGGTGTGCGCGAAGAGGTCTACTGATAGTGGTGAATTTAGTTATAATAAGGTGACCAAGTTGTTCCTCCTGCCATGACTTGTGCGCGTCGGTACCCGGCAATCGTGGATCCACCGACCAAGCTAGCGTCCCTAGTATTAAAGATCGTGACAGGAACCGCACAATTAAATCTCCACACGAGGCGAGAACAGAGTTCATGGAAGTAGGATGAGATCCATTGGGACCTCTCTGCAACGTTTTTCTTTCTCTATTCAGTAAATGTCATGCTTGAAGTGAACGTTTTGTCGAGGTTGAAAGCAATATTTAAGATTATTAATTTTACATTAAATTAGGGTTTACGCAGAGCTTGACAAGAAGCAGTTTTTCAGTATTCACAGATGAGCACTGGATAAATTCATGCACAGTTAAACAGTCAGTTAATCTTATTTCCTGGAATGAGTCGCGAACAGTCGTTAGCTATTGGCCAATTATACCAATCTTTGTAACTTTTTCTGTTCCTGATTGATACGGCCTACACAATTGTTTAATGTGATGATTTTGGAAACTAATTGGCCCTTATTGTCAAGGTAATCGAATTTACTGATATTTGAAATATCACGTCCCGATTCAACTAACGCGGTGTTGTAGTATACAGCCGGACACAGTAAATTCATGCAGAATCTAAATAGCTTGCGCCTTCGCTCCTTCTCACACTGCCGACTGTCAGATTGTGTTCTAATAAGCCCTGATATCAAACATATAACTTGCTGCAGCCAATGATATAGTCAGAGAATTCAAAATTTCAATAGTGAATAGATTTTAGCCTGTAAACAGAGTCGGACGAGAGACTTTTCGTGTGTGTAATCAAACAGGCCCGATTATTGAGATTATTCCGGCCAAATAAGGGGATATCTTGTAATATATATTCTAGACAGAATTTGACTCTCACTATGGCTATGGAGCCTACATGACGAATACAAGCTGGATGAGAAGGTTTTGAGCCCACTGTTTTTTAGATGATGATTCAGTCTACCCCGACCGCGGCGGCAGAACATGATGCAATCTCTACCGCGCCCAGGCTACATGTAGAAGACTCGCGCACATGTAACATGCGGCAGCTATAATGTGTTGAGCACTAGTCTAGACTTGTATGCTTTCATGTTGAATAGTTGTTGCATAATTGCTATGGCTGCGACCAGCAAGGATAGAACAGACGAAGGTGTGGGTGTGCAGCGAGGGCTGCCCTTAGCGAACGTCGGAGCTTGCGCCAAGATCAGCGTCGGAGGAAACTGATTGACCCTGAAACCACGAGTTTTCAAGGATCTGAGTCGGCGTCATATGCATCACCCACCGCATGTTACAGCGTAGATGGATGTTGAAGCTGCGTGGTCTTTATGCATAGGATCTGCATGTCCTACATAGTTTCAGGCTGGTTGAGGAAAATTACAGGGAAATTGACCGAAATCATATAGTGTAGCAGAGAGAGCGAAGGACAATAAACTCCAATTATTGAGGCAAGCTTGAAATCTTCATGAATGAAATCACACCAGGGCTGTGATTCAATACTTGCTCATTGTGGTGAAGAGGGATGGAGTCCTGTTGTGGTGCTATCTAACATTAAATACATGACATCACGTGATACAATGCGTCCACCACAGTCATGAGAAGACGGCAAGACTTCTCGCTGGATAGTCAGTCGGTCGGAGCAGAGTTTGATCGGATTTGCTCAGCCTCTCGAACTACAAATTTTCTCCATGGCGCAAATCGAGGGCAATATTTAGACTGACAAGCCAAAATGCTCTTAGATTTTAATACCACACTCATCTGTTGGTGCTGCTCACAGCCTTACATCCCCACATGCAAGTACTTCAAAAGAATGCGACTCATGGATCCCCATCGTCGATCGCTTGTCTGCCAAGAACACGTCGATTTTCTCGGGGGAATGGGACACTGGATTGAAGTTGAGCTTTCACAAAAATGTGAAGGTCGTCCTTCGTAGCCAATTGAGATTAGGCAAATCATGGCTAATGTCGCAGGTGATATTCATTGAGGTAATTACTGGGAAGTGTAGCCTGGATGTCGTATGGGTGTGGAAAAGAAACTGGGAATGTTCTGCTTGAGGGGACCATGCTGCCTACAATGCTTGTAAAAGTTGTCAGATTTAAAGGGAGTTGGACTAAGATCATGTACGGGACAAGGTCAGCGAGTTCAACCTATATCATCATATCTGTTAGTCAGCATAGAATAAACTATCCGATACACAACTACCCGATGCACTCCGGGCCGGACTCACACTACTATACTCCACAACTCCTCGGGCCCGAGTTGGCTTCGACAGGAAAAAGTGAGACTTCAATAAAGCCACCAAAATGTAGTGCAGGAGTGCAGGATATCTAATCATTCTACCTTACCTTCAAGCAATGGACAATATAAGCAAAGGCCAGTCATGTTCATGCTTCCCTAGCTAGAACTTTTTATTCGGCCTTTTTCAACTTTGTATCGGCGTTGTTGACTCATGTTGTGAATCATGACTCGTAACAGGAAGTAGGAATCCAGGCACCACGAGATTACTATGAAATATTCAACATAGTAAATTGCCCATTTTTTCTAATCTACTGATGTGAAATTGGGTGTCGGGCAGGAGTCACTTGGCGTCCCAAAGTCACAGAAAAAAAGGAGCGAAGCCAAATAGAGGGCGGTACTGGTTGACCTGATTCGAACATACGCTTGAATAAAAACTCACAGACATGTTGCTACAGGTAGGAAGACAAAATTGAGGCAATGATCGCTCACGCCAATATTGACTTGGGCTCGGATAAACGATGCAGAAATAACCCATTTGCTTGGATCTTGATTCAACCACACGTTATCAACTCGATGCTTGCCAGTTATAAGGCGCGTGACCACAATTTGACCAAAATGAAACAGAATATCAGCTTCTAAAGTGCGAATAACTTGGCTCCAGCGGTGGCCTCTATTAGTGTTCCACGGTGTGCGTTGACCCAGTTATGCGACCATAAATCTACCAAACCTTGCGAAACTCGGCTAGTATTACTCTCGCCTCACTGATATAGACGTCTAAATATGCTAGAACAGGTTGCTTCACTCGGCAATTTAATTAAGCGCTATGGCAATTCCGATACCTTGCAACCACCAATACGGTATCTCATCGGCTCGCTTGCTGGCCCCAGTATTCTAGACCCGCCTGTACGCCTTGGACACTTTAGATACATGGAGAGTTTATCTGTGCGTTGTGTTGGAGCTCAAATTGGAAGATGGATTGATGCTGTAGGGAAATTACAGATTCGAGTGATAATATTTACGCGCGTGGTCACGAGCTTGACATGGAATCATGATACCGGGCGCTTCCGAAAACGGAAAGCTCTGTGCGTGCCAAGGCGTCGGCAACACCTACGCTGCTGACGCTGTAAATCCAGACTAGACTCATGAGCACAGATACCCGAACCCTTTTTTTTTTTTTTTTTTTTTTTTTTTAAAATTCATGGTGTATTCAGCTATTTAGCTATGACACTACCCGAACCCTTATTATATGTGAGCCCTGGGCATTTGACTTGATCCGGCGAAACTTTATTCCCTTGATTTTCTCGCCATGGGTGCTTGCACGGGATGGTGATCCAAAGGAGAGAGTCACTCCTTCAAACTGCGTCACAGAGAGAGTTGGATGGCTTAGCTATGACCCATACGGGATAATCTTCCTAATCGGGTCTGAGTAACTTGATCACTTGCTCAACTTGAGACAGAATAAGCGACAGTTTGAATCCACCAGACACTTTGATCCCAACACTGAACGAACATATGCCCGCATTGATGCATCAGAATAGATGAAGCTTTTTCTGATTTTCGCTTATTCATGCTATGGATTTCATTAGCTGATACTACAAATTTGGTCAGCAGGCACTTTCATTTCGGCCTCACCTATGGATCCCCGACAATCTAATGTAATATCGATTTCCCAACATAGTTGTTAACTGATAAAGGACATTAATGTACTAGTAACAACCTAAGATCGAAATTTACACGCCCTGAGATGTTGTGCAGTAATAATTTGATGCAGAGCGCATACTTGGTAGTTTCAAAATTACAGTTTTGTTGCTTCAAGAAAAGAGGTCATTCTTTCAGTTCGGAATCGTTACTGCCTTAGCCTTGTGCCTCATGATAGTCAACAAATCAAGAGAGATCAAACACCACGGAGAGAAATTTAATAATAGGCTTACATGTAAACTATTGGAATGCATTGGCATTATTGTTTTGATATTTTTTGACACCCTCAGATTAAAATATTAGCTTACGAAAATCTGTTGCCATACTCAAAAATACTTCAGTAAAGTAAAAATTCAACTTGAAAATTTCTATTTTTATTCCATTGAATTTGTTTGCAGTCATGTAGCAATGACACATTATAGTTCTATGTGTACGTGTTGCATGCCTCTTTTGACTTCGGAGAGACTTATATTATGGATTTCAAATAAAAAGGGCTTGACCCCCAGATTGATTGATTGATTTGAATTTAAGTCTCTACTGAGTCCGAGACTATGAAAGACTACTTAAAGATCTACCTAGATAGCTCTTAATTTCATAGGATAAATTTCAATTTTCAATTTACA